GGAAATGGAAGGAAAGTTGTAGTCCTGGGGCTGAAGTGTTTCCGTGCTGGCTATGTGTGGTTCAGGGAAGCGCTGCTTCACTTCACCTGCAGGTTTTGGTGGTGGTTTGAATACCAGTGAAACCAGTCCTGAATACCCCGCAGTAGAGCTGGGGGCACCGACAACACTGGGTGCTGATAGCATCCCACTGCGAATAGCTGGCCATGAACCAGCCAAGCCTTCCACCCACCAAGCTCTTAATCAGGGAGCAATATATATATGTGTGTGTGTACATATATATGTATGCATGTATAGGTGTGAGTCTGATGCATGCCAGCTTTCTCTTTGGACAGAGACCTAACAAACTCATCGCAGCTCATGTCAGTGTGACTCTCGTTGTCCCAGCGCCTGTCCCCACTGTCCTGGAGTGGCATTTAGATGCAGAGGGCTTGGGAAACGTGAGCTGGCTGATGGCACTGCGATATTTCTTATTGATTTGGAGGAAAAAGAAGCCGAGGGATAAAATTAACCCAAACCTCTCCCTTTGCTGCTGGTTTCAGTTCCCATTTGGTGGCTGTCTGGTTGCAAAACATTGCCAGATGTTGGTGATGGAGGAAAACCAAGCTGCTGGGTGGAAGGAGTTCTGAGACAACTCGGGCACGGGCAGAACTCATTCCTCCCCTCTCTGCTGTGGCTGGTTCTGCTCAAGCTAAATCAAACAAGGCCCAGCTCTGGTTGCTGTGGATGTATCTTAGTATTCCCCAGAGATTTCCTTCTCCATGAAACCCTGGAAGTCAGTAAACTGCTGTGGAGCGTGGAAGCATCCGAGCGGCTCCCCCCTTTGCGCTTGTCTTTCCTGCAGCACAGATGTAACCTGCTAGCAGAGGTAGTTTGATATTAAAGCACTTATTATGAATTCCCACTCTCACTCTTTGTGTGTCTCCCCTGGGTGCAGCCTGCCGGCTATCACCATGGTATCTGAGCTGGTTGCCCATAAATCAACATACTAGCAAGTAATGAGCTTTCTGGGGACTAGCATCACTTTGGGGTGTTCAAATGAGCCTATTTAATTTAATGGGCATTTATGTGGATGGCTGGGCAGAGGCAAGAAAAGCACAAAACACTGGGAAGTAATGGCATCGTGACCTGCGTGCGAGCGCTGTATCATGAGCTCTGCTCTGCTTCTGAGCCAGGCTGAGGTCTTCAACCCTATAGAGGTGATAGTCAGTGTAGAGATGATGATCATCACTATTGATGAGGGGGAAGAAACCCCCAATGGATGAAGGAGGGATGAAGTTGTTTTCACATCAAATAGGATTTCACAGCAAAAGGCAGTGCTCCAGCTCTTCCTCACTCATCCCTCCCAAATTGCTCCCGTTCAAGTCGCTTTGGCTTTGCTCCCGTTGCTGATGTCTTCAGCCCACGTTGGTGAAATGCAGAGTGTTTATAAAGCAATTTGGGATTTGGCTTGCTTGGCTGAACACTTCAAAAACTCATTTTGAATAGAGAGTCGCATCTGCAGCGGGATGGGGCTGGGATTGTCCTGGGGTTGAGGTTGTGCCATGGGTTGAGGTGCACTCCTGGATGCTTGGGACCACGGGAAGGACCTTTGCATCTTCCCAAGCCACCCAGTGGGGCTGTTCTCAGCTCTGGGTGGTGTTTGGTCACCACGTGGTACCAGGGCACGCGTCATGCTCTGCTGATGGCTGGGATGGAGAGGTTTAGGAGGAGAAGACAGGTATTTATCTCTGAATACGTACTTGAGTGGTGAATAAGCCTTGATCCATCTGAAGATGCAAATCGCCTGCCTTTGTTTCTGGTGTCAAGTGTAGGCAGTTCCTGGCCTTGTGATCCACAGCCCTGCTTGCTCGCAACCGGATGGGTACCTCAATGCCACGGTTCGGCATAGACCTCTTGAAGTGGGAAGGCAGAAGATGATGTGCGTGCCCCGGAGCGGCGCTTTGTGCCTGCTGCTCCTGCCCCAATGGGGAGCGATTGACGGCAGACGGGGAACGAGAAGCAGTGAAATTGTTGAGCTCTGCCATGAAAAGGTTCCGCAGGTGGTGGTTGAATGGGCTCAGGTGCTACATAATAGGTATCGACAGGGCTTTATCTCTGCATTGGCAGCTCCTTATCTGGCAAGAAAACGCTTCACATACCGGTCGCTATTTGGATTGATACGGAGGAGTTATTCATGGAGAGGAGGTGCGAGGCACCTGGGCTGCTTTGGGGTGGTGAGGAGCAGTGCTGGCATGTCCCATGCCCACCGTGCTTCACCGTGTGCTGCTGCCACCACCCTGGGTCTGAGCAGTGGCTGCTGTCCTTGTGCCAGAGTGCATCCGCTGCCTCCTTTAATGCAACCCCTCAGTAAATGAAGTGGAGAGATGGGAATCTCATCCGAAAAGGGCTGCAGGCTCTGCTCCTGGGGTTATCGCAGCAGCGCAGATGGGCAGGAATTGAAGGGTTTTTCTCTTAAACAACCTTTTTCCAGGAAAACAGCTGATCTTAACTCACTTCAGGGCTGAAATCAAGCCCAGTTCTGCTCTATTCATTGCATGTGCGATGTTGATTCGTGACTAATGCAGACCACAAGCCACTTTCTGTAATGGTTTTCTCTGGAGGGAAACAAGCATTGGATGGGGAGCAGGAGGGCTGGGGGAACTCCTTTGTGCACAGGCAGGTCATGGGAGGTGCAGAACGCCTGTTGCACTGCAGAGCTTGGAGCTTTGCAGGTTTGTGGAGCAGATTAGTACAAAACCCCTGGATACTTTGAAGGTGGTGAAAAGAGAATGAATATTTGTCGTTGTTTTGTGCCCTTTAATCCCAGTTGCAGAAACCCAAGGGTTTTCTTGAGCACTTCCAAGTGATTTGCTTTCCAAGTGGGAGTTTGAGGGCTTGGATCCCAATGTTCAGACAAGTTCAGATTTGACTGCAGCCAAACTGTTGCAGGAGATGGGGAGCAGCTGATTTAGAGGAAGATCATGTTTGTAATTGTGGGTGCCTTGGGTTTGCAGCCCAGCTGGTGGGCTCAGGGATGTGCTGAGGCACTGAGCGAGGAAAACCATTACTAGAAGGCAGTTGCATGGGTATGAAGGTGCCTTAAAATCCCCACTGCAGCTCACTTGCAAGGCTATTTCCAACACGACCCATGGCAGAGTAGAAGGATGCTGTTGTCTTCCAAAACCCATGACATATGGGTCTGGTCCCATTCGTGCTTTGCTGTTTGACCTGAAAATTGTGCTTTCTGCCAATGGAGGGATGTGGAGCTTTTGTCCTCTAACATCCCTGCTTTTGGGGGCTCATTGGGACCTTATTGACAGGTGGGATGTGGGACACCCTGGGATTGCTGCTGCCTTTTTCAGTGTCCCCAGGGAAAACACGGCACAGCCTGCCTGGGGTTTTTGCATCATCATCCTGCTCTGAGCCAGCTTTGGGGTCAAAATGAAAGCAGGGCTCTACCATCATGTCACGTTCCCGATTCCTCCAGATTTGCAACCTGGGGGATGTTCATAGAATCATAGAATCAGCTAGGATGGAAAAGACCTTTAAGGTCATCAGGTCCAACCTTTAGGATCATCCCTGGCAGTGTTCAAGGCCAGGTTGGACAGAGCCTTTGGTGACATGGTCTAGCATGAGGTGTCCCTGCCCATGGCAGGGGGTTGGAACTGGATGATCTTAAGGTCCTTCCCAACCCAAACTGTTCTATGGTTATCCAGCTCCACACAACCCACCACCCCCCCCCACACCCAACACACCCCCCCCCCCCCACCACCCACCACCCCCCCCCACAACAACCCACAAACCCCACCACACCCCACCCAAACACAACAACCACCCAAAACAAACCCAAACCCCCAACAAACCACCACCCCACAAAACACATAAGATCATCAAGCCCATGGTGCTGCAGGGCTGGGCTGCTCGCCTCTCCACAGGGCTGTGCTCAAGCATCACTGCCCTCGGTGTTCTTCTTCCCCCTCATCCATGCCTGGGGTCGGGACCATCCCCTCTCCCTGTCTGATCAACATGGTACCCAGGCAAACCTGGGGCCAGCTCAGTGCGATGCTCCTCATCCTTTGCAAGGAGGCACAGATTGGGCTGATTATTTCCATCCCAAAAGGGGCAAACCCTATTAATCCCCCAGGGGACAAATCCAGTGCTGGCAGCCCCAGGGCTGGGTGAGGAGGGAGGTGTTGGAGCTGAGCGTGGAGAGCGGAGGAATTAAAACCCATAGCTTTTTATTCGTTAACTAGCCCAGGATCAGATTAAGGTCTGCGGTCGCTGAAGCCTCTTTAACGAGACATGTGTCAGGCTCTTTATTCCCAGGCACAGGTATCCAGCCTCATCTCTCCAAAGTTGCCTGTAATGAGTGTGGGTGGATAGGGAAAAGCAAAAAGAAGCCCTTATTTTTGTGGGCGCGAGTCGAGGCAGCAGCCACCCACGTTCTCCATTATGATATTCAAATGTCAATATATTTTTAATTGGTTTATATCCCCCCTCCCATTCCAGCTGCCTTTGGTAATTAAGGCTCTGTAAATAGATTTTACTGTAATTGGTACGAGAGAAGGAAAATTGGAGGACATTGTACAGTGCATTGGGTTCGGTGGGGGTTTCATTCTCCTCCCTGTCTTTCCTCTTTTGACTCATGTTACATCTGTGAGCATTGTACCCTCCGAGGGAAGAGGAGGGAGCTGCGGCCAGTTTGGCACAAAACCCCTCTGAAGCAAGAGGACCAGGTGGTTCCTTCCTGGATGGGATGTGGGGAAGAGCCAGGAACCAGCCCGGAGTTACCCCTTATGGGGCTTGGTACCACGGTGATGGCACCAGCACACACCTCCCAGTGCCGCGATGGGGAGAGCCCCCAGTTTCCATCCCAAACCTTCAATCTGCCTTGAGATGTAGCCAAAGCTCCTGTGGTTATATTATAGTTCCCAGCCACTGGCTTTGTACTTTGGGGGTGTTTCTCAATGCGGGGGTCTGTAAACTCTGCTTTTATCTTCTCCCTTCTCCTTCTCTTTCAGCCTGTGTAAAGGACGGACTCTCTACTCGGTGGTGAGAGATGCCAAAATTGTCCTGGATGTCAACAAGACAAGGCAGATAGCACAAGAAATCGTGAAGGTATGCAGTGGTGTGGTGTGGTGTGATGTGGTGTGAAGTGGGACAGCTTGGCATCAATGGGGATCCGGATTCAGCCAAGCCCCAAGAATTACCAAGGGCAGGGTAACCCCTTTTGGCTTTAAAATCCAGGTTTCTTAGACCTCCCTCATCCCAGTTTTCTCCCCTGGAGTGGAACCAAGGCTTCCCATGGACTCCCCATAGTAAGCCTGGGACTCATCCTGTCCACATCCCCTTGGCAGTGCAGGTGTTTAAACCCAGCATTGCTACTGTGAGTGAATTGCTGGTTGGATATTCCTCTCCTCTTCGGGAATACCCAATGATCTGCTGTTGCTCGGAGGTTTCCATGTCTCTGTAGTGATTGCATCCCTGCAGCCCAGGCGCCGGAGGGGTCAGTGCCGTGGTGCTCATGCTTGCCATGAGGCAGAACACACACATTTTTCAGAGCTAAAAGAGCTTTTCCTTTCCTAGAGATGACTCAGAGAGCATCTTCAACACTTCAGACGTGATTGTATAAATAGACGCTGGGGAGCATCCTCACGTGGTGGGGTCAAGTGGCTGGGAAGTTGGGTCCTGAGCCATCAGAGCCTCCCATCAGTGTCTGCAACGGCTCATTTCCTCAAGAGGTGTTAAGCTGTCTGCCAGAGGAGGGCTGTGCTGTGATTCCAAACGTACTTAACATCAAATGATGCCTAAAGTGTTTGGCAAGTGTCCTACCATGGGAGTCATGAGACTGGCCAAGGTCAGCCAGTACCTTCGGCCCACAGCAAGACCAAGTCATCTGGGGCTGAGCTCACGTTTAACATCTTTCTGTGGAGAAGAAAAGGACAAAGTTTTTCTGGCAGATCTTAAACCCCTTAAATATTCAAATCCATGTTAGAAAGCAGAATACGTTCTGCAATGTCCTGAACAGTGCTACTCCCCGGCTTCCGCTTCTGCTGTTTCTTGTTGATTGCCTATTTTGCTTCTATTTACACCCAGGTTTAGCAAAGTGTATGCTGTTTCTAAAGTAAATTCCTCAAACTCACAGAATCCCAGCCAGGTTTGGGTTGGAAGGGACCTTAAAGCTCCTCCAGCTCCAACCCCTGCCACGGGCATGGACCCCTTCCACTGGAGCAGCTTGCTCCAAGCCCCTGTGTCCAACCTGGCCTTGAGCACTGCCAGGGATGGGGCAGCCACAGCTTCTCTGGGCACCCTGTGCCAGCGCCTCAGCACCCTCACAGGGAACAGCTTCCACTTTCCCACCTCCCCATGTTCACCACCACAGATGTTAAGCATGTTTTGGTAGACTTGATGTTGGCTGGTGTGGAGAACCGAAGGGAAACCCCAGTGACTTGCTTTGATTGGGCTTGGTGCTGCGGAGGCAGACCCATGGTAGAGCCTTCGGCTCACATCTTTTGACTATATCCTTTGAGTCCCTACATGCAGTAGGAGGGTCGTTAAGCTGATTGGATTAATGGGTGCAAGGGCTCTCGTTGTTCCATGCTGTTCCGGAGGTGGAAGCTGGAGCCGGCAGAGGGAGCTGGCTTTTCGCGCTCGTTGGCCAGCCAAGCAAATTAAGGCATTACTGGGCTGCGAGTGTTTTCTCACAGCTCATCCCGGGGGGTGAAGGTGGCGGGGCTGGAATTTGCAGTGGGATCTGCACAATACCCCATGGAACAAAGAGAGGGATTTGGGCTTGCTGAGAAATACCTTTGGCAAAGGCTCGCTGCGCTTGATGATTGGCGCGGGGGACGTGTTCCCATCCATAGGTGCAAAGCGCCTGCTTTGAGCTCCTGTGTGATGGGAGGGGGCTGCAGAGCATCCTCATGGTGCTGGGCCACATCCTGCCTCATGGTTGCTCGAGGCGCTGCAGGAGGAACGGGCTCACACATTGAAATGCTGCTCCTTGCACCACCTGGGCACTGTGTGAAGGTGACGGTGACATTTTAAAGCAGAACTTTAAACCTCATCAGTATTTCATGTGCTGGGACACAGGGACCCCTAATTAATCCCAGTGGCTGGAGTGGTCCTGGCACCTGGCTGCAGCTGTGGCATCTCAGGGCCAGCCGCAGCACTGAATCCTTTCCTTCCTCCAGCATCCCTTAGCAGAGGCACTTCAGGATTTGAGCACCGAGGGGTGAAGTTAAACCCCTACTACTTGTTGGGTTGGGGTGTTTGCTACCCCAAGCAGCACGCTGTCCCTGGATGCTGCCGGCTTTTCCCACTCCTGGAGTGGGTTTGTCCTGCTGCTGAGTCCTTGGTGCCTTCCGATTCCACCCCCCACATCCCAGGCACTTACATTTGAGGATTTGTGGGATTTTCCATTTGCTTTCCTGTTTTTTCCGCATCATTTCTGAATTTGGATCATTCCTCCCAGCTCCGCATTGTCTGCAAACTTACAAATACATCCCTGTTCCACTGCCAGCGTGGTTAATGATGACATGTGAAAAGATCAGGCCTAGGATGGACCCCCGTGGAAACCCAGTGAATAAATCCCTCCATGTCACTGGTAGCTGATATTCACTCTTAAGCAACAGTTTGCTGGCCCATTTGGCATTTATCTTTCAATAGCTTTCTCTAGCCCAAGATTCCCCTAGTCTGCTTGAGAATGAAAAGTGGGACAGCATCAAAAGCCCTGCTGAAGTGGGGATAAATGGGCTTTCATCACCCTCCCCATTCCCAGAGCTGGTTATCCCATGCCCTCCACACGGAGCTGTCGGCAGTCGGCTTGATTTGCTGATGCTCAGCCAGTGCACGGGAGCTGGATTTCCCACCCATGGCCTCTTTTTGCATCATTAGCAATAATTTTAATTAACCACCAAGCAGCTTTTCCTCAGGGAAAGGAATCAAGGCAGGACTCCTGCGAGGTGCTTGTTTCCATGCTAATGGTGTCGGTGTGCACATAGGAAGCACTAATGGGGACACGGTAGCGGGGATGGAGAGATTTGACTTATTACCCTCAGCTCCCAGTCTGGAAAGGGAGAACATCATCATCATCATCATCAATTTCCCAGCAGAGGATCTCAGGAAAGCGACTGCCAGTTCGGTTTGCTGCTAATTTTCCTTGTGTAAGCCATTAATCAGGAAGACAAGTGGTGCTGTCGCAGCCCATCACCCTCTGTGTGCACCAAGTGGTGCCTGTCCCAAGCCAGAGACACCCGCCTGGACATCTGCAGGGACATTTGGGGATGTGCAGCCTCTGGTTGTGGCCAAGTAGTAGCTCGATAGCGTGGGTGTGCTGCTGTGGCACAGGGATAGAATCATAGAATGATTTGGGTTGGAAAGGACCTTAAGATCATCCAGCTCCAACCCCTGCCACGGGCAGGGACCCCTTCCACTGGAGCAGCTTGCTCCAAGCCCCTGTGTCCAACCTGGCCTTGAGCACTGCCAGGGATGGGGCAGCCACAGCTTCTCTGGGCACCCTGTGCCAGCGCCTCAGCACCCTCACAGGGAAGAGCTTCTGCCTTATCTCCAACCTAAACTCCCCCTGTTTCAGTCTGAACCCATCACCCCTTGTCCTGTCCCTACAGTCCCTAATGAAGAGTCCCTCTCCAGCATCCTTGTAGCCCCCTTTTGGCACTGGAAGCTGCTCTGAGCTCTCCACGCAGCTTCTCTTCTCCAGGCTGAACAGCCCCAATGTTCTCAGCCTGGCTCCGTACAGGAGGTGCTCCAGCCCCTGAGCATCCTCATGGCCTCCTCTGGACTTACTCCACCATTTGGGCTCTCCCCATCTTGGCAATCGTGGGGCTGCCCCTGCTCTGGTGCTATTCTGTCTGTGCTGCTTATTCAGTTTTGGGGTGTTTTTCTCTCTCTTCCATCCTAGGGAATGGGCTACCTGCATGCCAAGGGGATCCTTCACAAGGACCTCAAGTCAAAGAACGTTTTCTATGACAACGGGAAGGTGGTGATCACAGACTTCGGCCTCTTCAGCATCTCGGGAGTTCTCCAAGCGGGCAGGTAGGACACGGCATGGTGGAAATACCAGCATCCCTCTCCATGCCCTAGAGCTCCCCTTTGAGCTGCAAACGTGCAAAGGGAGCCCCAAAACCTCCTCTGCAAGTGCCTTTCTGGGTCTGCAGTCTTGCTAGACACGAGGACAAGCTGCCTTTGAGTGGTCTGGGGCTGCCCATTGGATTTCACCATCCCACCTCCCAGGATTTTGCTTTTGAGGTGGAATGCTTCAGGAAAAGAGCTCCTGCAGAACCCCCTCTGCCCCACAAGTGATGCTGCTTTGAAATGCAGCTCCATGCTCAACACTGTCGTGGGGCTTGGAGAGCAAAGCCCCAGAGGGATGGAGGGAGCAGGGCTGGGGTTTCTGCAGCAAGGTGGGTCTGGGCTCAGCACCGAGAGGTGAAACCCAACTGCTCCATTTGTTGGGGGCAGGATTTGCAGCTTGATTTTGTTTTGTTTGGGTTTTAAACCTGGTGTTTAAAGGCAAAGTTGCTTTTGATTGGTGGAAGGAGTGTGATGCTGCATGCGAGTCTGTGGAAGTTTGGTTCAGAGAGGCAGGAGCTGGCCCTGGGCAGAGTCTCTCGGACCCAGTCTCTTCCCATCTCAATGGGATGCATCATTTCCGTGGCCGAACCCCTCTAGGAGATGCTCCTTGGGCTCTGTTTCACTTGGGCTGGCAAAGCCAGTTCACTTCTTGGCTTTTCCTTAGGGATATAATATATATCCCTATACAATCCCCTGGGATCTGGTTCATCTCCTGCCTCTGGGCTGATGAGTGGTGCAGCCAGCACAGCAGCCCGCACTGATGTCCCCATGGATGTCCCCAACCACTCCAGTGACCTTTTGGGTGCTGCAGACATCTGGCCACAATCTCTGTGCTGACACTGGAGCAAGACACAGAGAAAATGAGAGCCAAGGTCGGGACATTCACAGCGCTGTGACATTATAGAGGTTTGGGATCGAGCCCATTTGGTAAATGCTCCTTATTAAATGTTTGTTTGGGTGTTTTTTCCCAGTGCTGTGGGAGGTTTTCCAGCTGCAGGCTCGGCAGAGCAAAGGCTTTCAGGAGTTGTGGAAAGGAAGAAAAGCAAAGCTGGGGGTGGGGGAAAGGAAACAAGAGGGGAAAAAAGACCAAAGCTTATATTCTATGTTTTGTTAAAACTAAAGAAGAGTGTTGCTGGCTTCTCCCAGCAGGAGAGAGCTTTTCACTGGACCCTTTGTGCTGGAAGCAGCACAGGCCAAGACTGGTGTTATCACAGCCAACAGCTCGGGCAGGTTTCCTCTCCAGCAGTGTGGTACCCACCTTCTGGTCATAGCATCGCAGACTGGGTTGGGTTGGAAGGGACCTTAAAGCTCCTCCATTCCCAACCCCTGCCACGGGCAGGGACCCCTTCCACTGGAGCAGCTTGCTCCAAGCCCCTGTGTCCAACCTGGCCTTGAGCACTGCCAGGGATGGGGCAGCCACAGCTTCTCTGGGCACCCTGTGCCAGCGCCTCAGCACCCTCACAGGGAAGAATCCAGAACATCCGGTACTGGACTGAAGTGTTCATTATCTCCACTCCATCACCCCTCATGATGGGGTTTGTCACTGGAAAGGTGGTTGTGGCCAATCATCACTTTACAGTGAAGCTGCTCAGGGGATAAATGCATCTTTAAAGTTATATATGTATGTATTTCTAGTTCCCATGGGATGAGGCCAAAGGATTAGGGGCAAAGGCAACAGACGCCTCTCTCTGTCCCATGCCTCTCGTGGTGAGCTGAGCAGCCACCCTTTCCCTTCCATTTGTATAAATATCATCTGGTTTTAGCACAGACTCGGCCAAAAGCTCTGGGAGGCCAAGGGATCCAGCAGTGCTGCTGCCCTCCCCGCAGTGGAGAAGTGGGTTTCAGCTCCGGTTTAGCAGCTGGGCAGGGGATTTGGGACTTAGGTCCTGCCAGGAGGAGGCTGCAGCTCATTGCAGCAGCAGGAGAAGGATTTGGGCAAAAATGGCCACATTTTGCTAGAGACCTTTGCTATGAAGGTCAGAGATGCTGTGAAGACAAAAGAAGAGATGAGATGCTTGGAAATGGGGTATCCAATGAGGTGGACCAACGCATGACCATCTCTGCTCAAGATTGGGGTATCACTTGATGGGTAAAGGCCAGGAGACTACTCATGAGAGGGAGAATGGTCAGAAATACAAGGCTGGACAGAAATGAGCAGTGGTTTGCTACAAAACCAGAGAAAATGGGGAAATCTCTGCCTCAAGGAGCTTTCAGTGTGGCTGCTCTGCTTGTGACCCATACATCTTCTGCTGGTGGGGAGCTGAGAGAAGGCTTTGGGGATCTGCACTCATCAGTCACTGTGATTCGGAAGCAGCATGTGTCTGCAGGGCTCATTTCCCTTTTCAGGGAGGGTTTTCTGCTGGTTCTGGCCTCTTGCACATGAAGAAGGAAGGCAAAGTCCAGTTTGGGGTGCGCAGAGGCTTGCACAGACAAGCCTGGGTGGAAAAGAGAGCAAAATTTGCAGGTCAAGTTAATGATGGTGATGCTGCTTGAGGTGTGAATGAGAACTCCAAACTGACCTGGTTAGGGTTAAAGACATGGCTTACAAATCCTCCCCAACCTCCTAGACCAGGCTCACCTTCCGTTCATGAGAGCATCCAACACAAGGAGTTCACAGTGCCCATCTGTGCTGTGACACACTTGTGCTGCTGAACACCGAGATGACTACCACAACTAAAACATCTCTGTAGAGACTTCCTAATCCAGTGTCTTATCCTGGTGAAATCAGATGTATTTCCCCTTTATTTAAATGGTTTTTGGTACTTGGAAGGGCTGCTCTGTAATTATGAGCAGTATGAGGTGGGTTTTAAGTAGTCAGAAAAGCTCTTCTGCTCTTGCTTTGCCTTGGGGCTGGTTTGTCCTTCAGTGGCTTTAGAAGATGCTCAGCTGGTTGTGCTGCTGTCTGCTAGTGGAAGTGGCCAGCTCAGTTATAAAGTCAGGTGAACTTTGGTCATGAAACCTCAAACTGCTGCGATTGAACCAAGTTTGGAACTGCTTTAAAGCTCAGCCTTCACTACCAGAAGCTCATAAACCCATAGCTACTTGCTTGGGTGTACATGCATGGGAGCTCCGGAGCCAGATTTGGTCCCCAGAGCATCCCGAGGCCAGCCTGAAAGCCACTCGTGGGATATCACAGCACTTGGAGACTTGAGTGAGCAAAACTAAAAGCCCTGGGTGCAACCCTGGTCTTGCTGATGGTGACAGAGCAGATCTGAGTGCTCCCTGCTGCCTGCCTGGGGATAGAGACCATAGACACAGGGAGGGATGAGCATCTCCTCCGCATCTGCTCTAATTGCCTTGATGCTTAATGGCAGCTCGTAATTAAGAGCCTCACAGGGCTGGGGATGGTGGTGGGAGCTGAAAGCCTCCCCCCTGTGCCAAAGTGCTCTCTCCTGCAGCTCCTGGGGCCTTAGGGTCTGTGCCTTGCCCAAGCTGCTGATTGCGGCCATGGCTGTGGCACAGCAGGGTGAGGAGCATCCATCGAGACCCCAGATTGGGCATGGAAGCTTAATCAGTGATGCCCTGGCCCAGCAGCATCCTTCCCTAGGGAGAGCATCCTCCCCTGGTCACTGCCAGAGCCAAGGGGGGTATGTCTGGGGATGGGGATGGCTTTTTGGCTAAGAGGATCCAGACTGCATTGTCTTGGACTGCATACACTGTATGTAAGCAGCCATGGTGGGGGAAAGCCAGCCAAGGAGACAGTGTTTGCAGTGGGAGCTCATCACCCTGCCTTGGAGGTGAATGGAGATACCTCAGTGGTGTCCCCTGGGACATCAGCTCTGGGATTTTGGCCCCAGGAGCACAGATGACCCCACAGCCATCCTTTACCTTTGTTCATCACAGTCTTTAGGAGTGCATCAAAGCACAAAGAGGGAGAAATTCCTTGATACAAGTCATCGAGCTCTTCCTTCTCTTGTCTGATGTGACATGGGGCAGGTTTTGTTACCTCCTGCTAAACTGTGCTGCTGAATTCGGGCTTGGACACACGATCAAGCTGCTTCGTGTGTTAACACCACCGGTGGTCCTGCCCCATTTCCCTGCGTGGGGACCCTTTCTAACCCAGTGGTGAATCCTAGGAGCTTGCTGGAGGATATAAAGGATGAACAAGCATCCATTGCCATCCTCAGCTGTTGGCCAAAGCAGCCTCATGTACTTGTTCTGAGCAGGGGGACCTTGAGGAGGTAGAGGAGATGATGTCTGAGGTTAACTGAGGGGCTGGTGATCATAACAAAGCCAAGCTGCTCCCATGGGTGATGGCACCAGAAGTCTGGACACGAAGGAAGGCTGGAGGCGTTGTCTGGGGGCCAAGCACCTAAACCCACTGATTTTCAGGCCATTATTATAGGATGGGTTTGCTTGGAAAGAGACTCTTAGAGGTCCCCAGTCCAAACCCCTGCTCAAATCACAGCAAGGTCATCTCAGGTGTCAGTGCTGGTGGGATTTACCCCAGGTAATGCTTTGTCCCTGCTCTTTAAAGGTGTTTTGAAGTAGTGGTCACAGCGAGGTCCCCAGCAGACCCTGCATCCGCATCACCAGCTTGTCAGAACCAAAGCTGGTCCAAAACTGTGGACCCAGCAGAGATGGGCACAAAGCCACTACTTCCATCATTCCCCTCAGCAGGGTTAAAGCCTGACTTTGCAAGGATGCCATAGGGAAAACCAGGCCTAAATTCCCACTGGGAGAGTGTGGGAGGGCTGGGGGACTGCTCGCTGGTGGTGATGCTCCCCCCCATGTGGTACCCATGGCTTCAGCCCCATGTTTTGCAGGCGGGAGAACAAGCTGCGCATCCAGAACGGGTGGTTGTGCCACCTTGCCCCCGAGATCATCCGCCAGCTCTCTCCCGACACCGAGGAGGACAAGCTGCCCTTCTCCAAGCACTCGGATGTCTTTGCACTGGGGTGAGTCCTTGCAGTGAGAACTGGTATGGTTGGGTCATGTGGGAGATGCTCTAAGCAGCCAGGAGGGGATGGGGACACGGTTTGCTTGCTGCAATGCCAAGGGGATGCTGCCTGTGGGAATCCCCATCCCTGGGCTCAGAGCACCTTCCTGCTACAGGGAATTTTGGGTTAAACTCCCCCCTAAATCACCAAATCCTCCTGTTTGGATACAGACCAGAGCAATGGGGTCCAGGGGGATGCCAGCCTGGTGTAGTCTCTCCCCTGCATCCTCCTGGGGTGGGTAGGATGCTGTGGATGTGGAGACATGGGAACATAGGTCTGGGAACCCCTGGACACCCCCATTGTCCCCCCATGGCTGGCTGCAGAGGGGCTGGTGCTGGTGGCTACCAGGGGAGGAGATGCCAGAAGCCCAAGAACTGATGAGTGTCCTTCAGCCCATCACTGCCCCTTTATCTGTAATCAAACCTCTCTCCTTGCAGCAGGAGCCCATTTGTGCCCTGATAAAACCTTCCTCGAGGCAGAGACGTAGGGCTTTACCCAGCAGATTAATTTTCTCATGGATACCTTAAAGGCTGTGGGGATGAGTGCACAAGGGGCTGTTATCAGAGGTGATATTCCCATCAAAACTGCAGTAATTACAGCTGAAAAGATCTGGCTTCTCCTTTTTATCCCCTCCCTGAGGTATAAGTTTAGCACAAGAATAGAGGTAATTAAAGGATCCTATCGAACTAAGTGAGAGTTGGTTACTTAGGCTTAGGTTTTCCTCCGTTCTCTTGGAGTGTGAGCTCTGCCCTTATGTAAAGCATGAATTCCCTTCAAAGATTAAAGGATTTTCCCCCATTTTTCCTCTTTCTTGTTTCTGCTGAGCCCAGGATGCTCCCGGATGACCCAGAGGGTTATTGCCACCACACAGGGATCAGTGATAGCCAGAGGAAAAGATCTTCTAAAGGGGATAAAACTGTTAATTAAAGTGTGTGAGGATGGTGTGAGGCAGGGGGCTGAGGCTGGTGGTGTGTGCTCGCTGAAGCCTGAGACATCACAGCAGTGATCACTAGTAGAGATGTGTCTTCTCATGCAAAGGGAGGTTGGAGCAGCAGCCCGCTCTCCATAGGGCCATCCATGCCCTGGGAAATGCAGCCCAGATGTTTTGGATGCATCCAAAAGTGGGAAAGTGGGAAAATGAAGCCCCAAACTCCCAAGTAGGAACCTGAGTTTAAATGCATTGGATGCACCTTCAGAATCCCTGCTCCTGTCTGAGCATCTTATCCGGTGCTGCCAGCACCTGCCCATCTCCAACCCCACTATTCCTCCCCTGCAGCACCAATGGGTATCTATCTCACATGAATCCAATAGTTGGAGATTTACAGCCAAACTGTGCATATTTTCCCCAAATCAGGAGAGCCAATTTCCAAAATCAGGGATTCCCCCTATCCAGAAGTGACCCTTCATTTATCAGACCCTATCCACCAGATTTTTCCACCCTGTTGCCCTTTTAGCCCTGTTTCTTGTTGCTTTAACTGGTGGTCACAGCATCGCTTGAAGGGGAAAGAGAGTCCAGGGAATTTGCCTTGGAAATAGGGGCGAGTGCTGCAGGAATTGGGACTCATCCAGCCTCTGGTGCCAGAAAATGAGGATGCAAAACACCCAGGTGGTAGCAGGGGTGTAGGAGCACAGGGGAGGACAAAGCTCAGCCAGGGACACCCTTGTTTTGGTATATTCCATTGGATTTGGGAGTCCTCATGGAAAGAAAGGTTTGGCTTAGTGATAGGAGTGGTGCAGTGGCAGATGGTTGGGGTTTCATGTGTGCCATCACCCTGTGAGATTCCCACTTGATGTAGCAGCTTGGCTGGTGCCTTTGCCCGTGCATCCATCATCCTCCTGCCCACAGCATCCTCTCGATGGCTGAGCACCTCTGATGTCACATCTAGGATGAAACATCTGGATGAGGATGATTTTGGAGCAGGGAGAGGTGGCTGATGTGGAGCATTGGCCAGATGCAGCCCCTGGATGCCTCCCAGCTCCTCTCATCTCTAATCCCTTCTGCCTCCCAACAGCACGATCTGGTACGAGCTGCACGCACGGGAATGGCCCTTCAAGACGCAGCCAGCAGAGGCAATAATCTGGCAAGTGGGAAGCGGGATGAAGCCCAACCTCAGCCAGATCGGGATGGGCAAGGAGATCTCGGTACGTGGTGTGGGGCAGGCACTGGAGTCCCCAGTGTGCATGGAGGAGGAATGGGATCTTGACCTATGGGTGGAGGGCCCCTTTGAAAACCACTCTCTGCTGCTCAAAATCTGCCAGCACAAAAGGAAGGGCTCCATCCCTGCTCTCCCTGCTGGCGAGGCTCCATCCTGCTACTGGCACAAGCATCAGCTCAGCTTGCACGTTCTCTCCACCCCAGCCCTTCACAAGGATGCAGTGATGGAGATGGGGTTCTCATGGGATGGATGCATCCCCTCCACCTCAGCCCTTCACAACGATGCAGTGATGGAGACAGGGTTTTCATGGGATGGATGCATCACATCCACTCCAGCCCTTTGCAAGGATGCAGAGATGGAGACGGGGTTCTCATGGGATGAATGCATCCTACCCACCCCAGCCCTTCACAAGGATGCAGTGATGGAGATGGGGTTTTCATGGGATGGATGAATCCTGTCCACCCCAGCCCTTTGCAAGGATGCAGTGATGGAGATGGGGTTCTCATGGGATGGATGCATCTCCTCCACCCCAGCCCTTCACAAGGATGCAGTGATGGAGATGGGGTTCTCATGGGATGGATGAATCCCGTTCACCCCAGCCCTTTGCAAGGATGCAGAGATGGAGATGGGGTTCTCATGGGATGGATGAATCCCGTCCACACCAGCCCTTTGCAAGGATGCAGTGATGGAGATGGGGCTCTCATGGGATGGATGCATCTCCTCCACCCCAGCCCTTTGCAAGGATGCAGTGATGGAGATGGGGTTTTCATGGTATGGATGAATCCCGTCCGCCCCAGCCCTTCACAAGGATGCAGTGATAGAGACGGGGTTCTCATGGGATGGATGCATCTCCTCCACCTCAGCCCTTCACAAGGATGCAGTGATGGAGATGGGGTTCTCATGGGATGAATGCATCCCCTCCACCCCAGCCCTTTGCAAGGATGCAGAGATGGAGACGGGGTTCTCATGGGATGGATGCATCTCCTCCACCCCAGCCCTTTGCAGGGATGTGGTGATGGAGATGGGGTCCTCACGGGGTGGATGTTGGGCACAGGGGTGGTGATGGAGAGGCACTGGCTTGGTTTGCTCAGGTTCTCGCCCTGTGTGCCTGCAGGACATCCTCCTCTTCTGCTGGGCCTATGACCAAGAGGAGAGACCCACGTTCACCAAACTCATGGACATGCTGGAGAAACTGCCAAAGCGCAACCGTCGCCTTTCCCACCCCGGGCACTTCTGGAAGTCAGCAGAGTAAGTCCCTGTCCCTGCTTGCCCTTCCCTGTGCCATCAGGCAGCTCTGCCTGTACTCTTCAAGACCCCACTATTACAGCCTGAATCGGTGGTGCTGGTGACAGGGATAAGCTGTAGGTACATTGATGGCATGCGGAGAGGCAAGGATGGGTAGGAAGAGTGGTCACAGAGCGCTGTGCCCATGCTGGCTGTCCCTGCAGTGCTGGCTGTCCTTTGTTGGGGTGACAAAGCCTGTGGAAGTAGTTGGAGATGATCAGGAGGAGCCTCGCAATGTGCTCCACCAGCACCAGAGGAAGAAGCAGGATAGGTCCAAGGGCAGGCATGGGGATATCATAAGCTCCATTGCCTACCTATTCACTATGCTCAGAGCAGCTTTCCTACCTGGGAAGGTGTGTTTTTCTTTCTTTTGCCCAAATTTACCCAGTGTTAGGGGGATGCCCTGCTCAGCAGTTGCAGCTTCCAGTGGTGGGAATGGTCTCTTCTTCTCCAGACAGCTTGTGGCCACATCCTGCTCTGTTTCATTGCTTTGCCTTAGTCACTTCTCTCTGCTTCAGCAAACGCTGCGTAAATGGGTCCCCAGTCAGGGCTTCAGGATCTGGTTTGTTGGTAACAGCAGGCAAAATGCGGCAGAATCACTTAAAAACTCATTTTCTTCCCTTGAATTCATCATCTTGTGACAAATAGGAGCAAAAGCCTGATCCGTGCGGGGGCTGCGTTCACAGGGGGGATATTTCCTTCTCCTGACGTGCATCCCCCTGATCATGGAGGTTGGAAATGGGGATGGAGGGAGGCAAAGGTGAGCTGAGGGAGAGAAGTGAGAGTGCTTTCAATTGCTCAAAGCATGTCCTCTCGGACCTCACCGAGGGATGGAGATGCTGATTTCTCCTCCCACATCTAATAACTGATCTCCTGCTTCCTTATCTATGTGCCAAGCACGGATGGCCCCGAGGTTGTGGGTACTGATGCCACTTCCCATCCCCATGTGCTCCCTGGAACAGCACAAAGCCCCCAGTCAGATGGAGCCCAAATCACCTTGAAAGGAAGCTGTTAATTAGGAGGGAAGCTAATTACCAAGCTGTGCTCTGAGCAGGCACTGGGGCAGCCCAGGGAGCTGGGCAAGGAACGCTGAAGGATGCTGAACCCCCAAGCAGCACGCTGTGTAACTGCCTGGTTGGGCTTGAGAGGGGTTTTGCTATGCTCTGCCTGCCATGGGCTGTGGCTGCCCGGCTGCTTCTCCTTCATTACCAGTCCCCTGTGGAGGGAGGATGCTTCAGTTCGGCACTGAGCTGCCTCCTTCCTCAGCTGCTTCAGACACTGCTCCCATGTTATGTCCCGGCTTCCTCGTGGAGTCCTGGCTGGCACAGGGATGAGCTGGCTGTGGTACCCGGGGGCTCTGCCACCCCTGCATGAAGGGGATGGGGGGAAAATCCCCTCAGGCATCCTGCTGCTTGGAGAGCCGGGATGCCCAGGGATGCGGGTGAGGTGTGTGGTACCCAACAAGCCCTTGCTCCTCTATATTATACTAAACCTGAGAGCTGCCTGCACCAGGAAACCCCAACCCAGGCTGGTGGGGATGTGCAGGAGTGACAGCATCCCATGGTGCTGCTGCATTCAGTTATCCCTATGTCAAACCCCTTTGGGGAGGCTTGTTGCCAGAACCCACAGTGTTGTGGGATGAAGCACCCAGCACTGACTCTCCTGCGTTGTTCCCTTCCAGGCTGTGACAGGAGGAGTTAAGGGACGGTGCCTTCCTCTCCCTGCGGTTCTCTTCTTCCTCTCCACCTCCCACCCTGTGCTACAGAGGAGCAGCGAGCGCCGCAGGCCAGCAGCAGGATGGGAATGAGCCTCTTCCCCTGCAGCATCCATCCCATGGAGCCTCTCCGTACAGGATGGAGGAGCCGAGCCGGTGGCCGAGGCCCGGCTGCGGTGGGATGGGGACAGCGGATGGCTCTCTGTGCACATGAGGTCGGGGCTCGGGCCGGTTCCCTGCCAAGCAGGGACAACCCTCGAGGCAGACGGCTTCGATTTAACCCCAGGGCTCCTCTGATCCCAATCAGCATGGTCAGTGCTCATGATGCTCGGTTGGGGAGGGGTCGCTGCTTGGTTCTCGGTGGGTTCGTTTCGTTTTCTTTATCATTATCATTATTTTGAATGAAAAAGAAAGGGGGAAGTGTTGCTGATTCATGAGTTCAGAGCTGGAGCCTGCTGGGGGCCGGGAGTGCTGCTGCTATTAGCTGCCCCCCGTGGGGAAATGCATCTGCAGAGCTAGAGCTGGAGGAGTCCTGCTCCCCAACGCCTCTGCAGCCCCGTCATGGGCAGTGGTGACCTTTCACAAGTGGCTTCTCTACCTCCCGCCCATGTCCACTTATGTTCCCCTCCCTGAGTCTCCCTCTTGGCAGGGTGCACCTCCACGTTCCAGTTAGTTTAGCTGCTTGCCCCAGTGCGTATCTCATCACTGAGCCATTCCCTCTCTTCCTCCCTGGCACCGCTTTGCTCCTGGTTTCCATCCTCACTCCCAAAGATGCTGCTGAAGCCCTAGGTTTGGGGATGCTCTGGGCCAGGGCAGAGTGAGCACAGTTGGAGCTGGGGTCCTTCCCCTCTCCCATTGCTGTCCCAGGACTCACTGCTGGAGCCAGGGATGCAGACAGGCTCTGGTGGTACAGAGCATCTCCCTTCCCACCCCACAGACATCTCAGCTGAATGAGCAGCCATCCTCAGGACCATTTTCCATGCATATTCATCTTCCATCAGCCAAACCCTGGATGTCCCAGAAGAAAACACTCTTTGGGCAATGTCTCGGAGCTGGTATTGCCATCTGAATGCTGTGTGCTGGTATTTCCCTCTCCTCGTGAGCTCAGATGGGCCCTTGAGTCCATTAGATGAGCTGTCAAGCGACAGATGACAGCAAATTGCATTTTCAGGCCCTTATTTTGCGTAATTGCTTGACAGGAACCATCCTGAGTAATTCAATTGGAGTCTAAGTTAGCTTTAATTTGGAGACATGACGAGGCTGTCCAAACTAACCAGCCCTGGTTTGTTTGCTGCTCCTCTAACTCCCCCTTGCCGGCGTTTGAGCCGCTTTAGCATAAGTAAATGAAGATTAGAAACCTAATTGCAGCTAGGAAGAGATGGAGCTTTAATTGTGAAGGCATCCACAAAGGTGCTTTTATGGCTTCATATTTGCACAGGTGCATCTGTGTCAAACCTGAGGTGGGCAGGAGCAGGGGGTGAATCCGGCCTCCAAGCCTGCTGGAAGAGGGTCTGTCAGAGGGATGCTGTTGCTTCTGGGATGTTTGCTGTTGCATCTCGCTCTTGGATGTGTTGCATGGGATGAGGCAGGAATCACCTGCTCCTGGCTCTGCTGCTGCTGGGATGAGCAAGTGAAGGCAGGATGAGGCCTTGGCTTGAACATCTGGGTGTTAATTTGTGCTGATCACCCCCTGCAGCAGGCAGCATGGGTGGTTTGTGGTCCTATGGGTGTGATGCTGCAGAGCTCAGTGTAGGTGGCTGAGCATCGTCTCATCCTAGTGATGACAAAGGATGCTCCATAGCTGCTCACCCTCTGCCTCCTCCACATCCCACCTCTTCCCCTCTAACACACACAATCACACCATCTTCATCCCACCTCAATGTCCTCTTCTGCCTGTCCTCCCCACCCCAACCCTCTCCTGCTGTCTCATCCCCTCTCCATCCTCTGTGCCTGTGTGCACGTGTGCTGTAAATCTTGCACTAAGCCTCTCTCAGGCTTCACCAATGCCTTCACTGAAGTGGTCCTGCGGTCTGTGGCAGGGAGGATGCCCCATCACCACATTTCTCAGCTGCCAGGGGTTGCAGGGAGGTCTCACCATGAAACCCTTGATTCCGAACCCCATCCTTATGGAGTGATCACTGTAGAAAGGCAGTGTCCTTAGTGTTTCTAAGAACTAAGTGTCTTAGTGGTTTCTAAGAACTTCCAAGGTGAGCAAGTGGAATGTGTTGGGCAGATGAAGGAGCTGATACCATGGGTGATGCTCCACCCCAGGGGTGGCAAAGTGCTGTAGCCTGATAGGCATCGTGCAGATCTATACTGGACAGTACAGCATCAGTCTTGAAAGTCTTACTGAGTTTGCTCCCTGTGCCCCAAGCCCTCTCTTTGCTGTAGAGTCTTACCTTGACGTACCCCCCATGGGGTCTCACCAGCAGTTGGCAGATGCCAGATCAGCCAACACTCAGGAATAAAAATGAGCATGTTGGTTTGGTTACCCCACGGCATCAAGTCCTCACCAGGAGCACAGAGCTCTCTGCAGCAGCCTCAGCCAAGTGTTTCTCCCTGGATTTCGGGCATCTGAAAGGAGCTGAGTGCTCCAATAGCCAGCAGATCTCGCCAGCTCTTCCCTCACCCCCCTTCCCTCAGTGTAGGGTCTCAACAGGGCCACGAGCAGAAGAGTATCGATGGCAAAATAGCTGCCCTGTAGTTACCATAGATTAGCTGAGAAGAGCAGCTCCTTCCCTCCCATTCAGCGCAGCAGCGGTTGTTCATGCAGCCGTGTGATTTGCATCATGCCGCCTCGGTTTTGAAAGTCTTAATTATTTTAAACAACAAAACCAACCCGACGAATCCTCCTTTTTGTTGTGGGTTTTTTTCTCCTTTGTTTGTTGTTTTTTTTCGACTCCCACTCTGTGAGCTTTGTTTTCTTCCCCCAGTTTAAAAATATCCGGCCCTTCAGCAGGGAGAGAATGGAGAAGCTCTCCACAATGCCCTCTAATAGGAGATGCGAAGGAGGGAGCTGGTCCATCCGGTAGCTCAGTTTAGCTGTGTGAGCTAGAGGAGAGACGGGTTATTTCCAGATGCACCGGCTGGTTTTAGCACTGTGGTGTTGTAAGCAGCAGCTTGAGACGTAGGGAACCATCCCCAACCACGGGTGCATCCCCAGGCTCTTGCAGTGGAGCAGCCCCAGTGGTGATCTCCAGTCCTGGTCCTTCATCCTTCCAGCCATGCTCCGAGGCTCTTTCCTGAGCTCCCCTGTATCTTGCTGCTGCCTGAGGGGTATTTCCCCATCATTTCAATGCTCCTGGGGAATACTGTGTTCGGAGCTGGGTTGTGAGGCCATCACCAGTGATGGAAGTGGTGGTGCTGCATGACCCCAAAGCACTATGTCCTTCTTCAGCTACTAAATTACATCCCCTGGTCCTGCTTCTTCATCTTTCCCTTTTTCCCCCTCCCCAAATTACCCTTGCTGAGCCATGACCAGCCTGTTCCTGGGGATGATGAGCTCAGAATCCACCCCCATGGTTTTTATGTGACCATGGCAGGAGCTGAGATATGAACATTTAAGACAGATGACAGGCAGAAATGAATGTCTTGGAGGTGGAGGAGCTGCTCAACCTTTGCTGGATGCTATGGAAGAGTCGGTGCCTATGGCTTGGTCTTGGGCTATGCTAAGAAGGGGGCTGTGGTGGAGGTGCCATGAGATGCTGTCTGCACCCCCAAGTGCCATGGGGAGCCCCAGGTTGAGCCCTCCAGCAGCCAGTGCTCTACGGGGCACCTTTTCTTTCCTTCCTCCTTTCTTCACCATTTATTTATTTTAACTTATTTGATTTTATTTATTTGAATGGTGACTCTTTGGGAAGCTTGGTCAGCTGCAAAAGCCGCCTTTAACTTCTGGTCCCTGTAAAGTACGCTGTTACATTTTCTTGTACATAAGGTATATATAAATATATATACATATCTCTATATGTATGTATATAGATATATACATATATAACGAGCTCTAACTCCTGTACAGTTTCCAACTGAACTCGATGGCCTGCTTTGTTTTCTCCGTGTTAGTTCTGACCGTTGCAGAATGAGCTGACTCTCATTTCCTTTCTCCCTCTTTCCCTTTTCTTTTTATAAATATATACATAAATATATATATATCTATTTTGTTGTCGTCGTTGCAAAACTCTCGTCACTGGAACAGAACAGTTGAATCTGGTGAAAAACTAAAGCAGAGGAAATATCACCCCACAAACTGACAAGGGAAATGGCTGAGAAAGGCACGATGGATCTCCCCGATGTAAATTTGTACAGTAACATTTATAACGTTTTCTACACTTGAAGAAAGTCTTTATAATTTCAGCTGTCTGACTGAGTGCGACTCTCGGTGACCTGCAGAAATGGATAGCCATTTGTTCCCGTGGTTTCTCGTGCAGTGTTTGGTGAGGTGACAGTGTATGAATTATTTATGCCAATAATAAAAAAACGACCAAAACCGAACCCAAAAAGCACCTTTGCAAAACCGTTGCACCCCTGTGCTGCTCCGCGTCCCCGCGCCGATGGCTGCTCCTGCCCTCTCCACAGTGGCATCGCATCGCAGGGATGGGGTGGGACTATTTGTCTATGGAGGGGTCTGGACCACTCCCCCTCTATCAGAGCCTTGGGAGCATCTTGGTCCAGTGATGCTCAGGAGGCAAACACAAGCACTGCTGAATCCCCCTTTTCCTATCTCCCACCATGTCAGCTCACAGCTGAACCCTTTGGGGATGATAAATCACTGTGAACATTAGGATGGGAGCTGCAGGGAGATGCAGCAGCCAAAAACATGGGAATTGGGCAAATGATAGGACTAGCAGCAGATAAATCTCTGCATGGCTCTCAGTGGAGGGGCTGGGGCTTGGGTGGGTTCTAAGGGGGATGCTCCTCCCTAGCCAGGCCCCTGCGGGGATGGCTGAGCCTGGTGATGAAGCACTGGAGGCTCTTCACATCTGCTGCTTTGTTTGTTTGCTTCTCCCATGCTGTTTTACTGGGGGGGGGGGGCCATCAATCTGCAAAACAGCCCGTTGGAAAGCAACAGCGTGTTCGTCTGTGGGGCTGATGCAGGTGGGACCCGATGGCAGGCGATGGAGGGGTCGTGTTGCTTCTCCCCTCTTCTTCCCTCCTCGCTATCTCCCGAGTGCTTGAAAGGTAAAATAATGATGGCTCACCATTAATAAACCATGAACACTCAACGCTTCTCCTATCGAGGGCTTTTCATCTCTCAAAGCCTGCAGGAGCTGGTAACCAATTAGACCAGGCACATTCCGAGCGGCGAGTGGTGATGGGGCTGGCCAGGGGGTGTTTCCTGGGAAGGATGGAAGAGGGATGCTGTCATCGGGCATGGATCTCCCAGAGAAGAGAAAACAGATCTGGGGATAAAGAGCCACCACTTGATGCCATGCCAGGGACTTTGTTACCCCTCTGGCTCCCTTGCAGGGTAAATGGGCTGCTGGCTGTGTCAGTGCCATGATCTCTTGCATATATGCAATAAACAGGGGGGTAAACCCTGCTGGTGATTCCCCTGGTGTAAATCCGGAGGGTTCCACCAGTCCGGAACATAACTGGTTGCCACTGGTGTGTAACTGGGCTCCAGCACTCCAGGAACAGGGTGGCTGATTGAAATGCCAGCAGCAGCACAGAGCCCCTGCTGAGCCCAGCACAGGGATGCTGAGCTCGCTCCTGGCTTGTGCCTGATGAGATGCCAGCACCAGAATGGGGATAAATATGCAATATATCCCCAAAACCACCTTAACAATGGTGCTGGCAGCTTAGAGGCACCTCTGAATACATATCTGCATATGTACACTCGTGTGTGTATATCAGAGGGCCACATGAAGGCACACACGTCTGTAATCTCCTTCTTGGTGCTGATGAATCATGAGCCATTAATATTTCACAGCAAAGAACAGATGCAGGGAGTGGAAGAAGAGCCAAACCCCCAGGATGTCACTCTAGCCCTCCTGCTGCTGCTCCCAATTAAGCCCATGGTGATGCTGAAGGACCATGGGTTGGGGCTCAGGGTGGGCATTGCTCCCACTTGGGTACTGGGTGGAATATGGGCACAGTGGGGCTGCAGCCATCCTGGCTGGTGGGACTGGATCCCATCATCACAAGGGCTCTTTGCTTTGTGCTAGTAACCCTTTTGGGGCCAGCTGTGTGGATGGAGAAGGAAGAGAGCAGAGGATATGTGTGTTTCCACCAGGGAGGGTGGCTTCAGAAGTGTCTCCATGTCTTCTAGGTGCTGCTTTGGTGACCTACCCTCCCATTGGACACACTGGGGCTCATACACATTTCTCTTCCTTGACTGCCCCCAAAATTAAACATACGCTGAAGCCTTTTATTGATCTGAACTTAAATAACTGGATATATGGGCACTAGCTCATGCGCTCTTCATCAGGGACTGTAGTGATGGGACAAGGGGAGATGGGTTTAAACCTAAACAGGGAAGTGCAGGTTATGTATAAGGAAGGCACAGCTGCCCCATCCCTGGCAGTGCTCAAGGCCAGGTTGGACACAGGGGCTTGGAGCAAGCTGCTCCAGTGGAAGGGGTCCCTGCCCGTGGCAGGGGTTGGGGCTGGAGGAGCTTTAAGGTCCCTTCCAATCCAACCAGTCTGGATTCTATGGTTCTATAGGGTGGTTCACCTGGATGTTAGGCCTGGACACCAGCCACAAGCCTCTGCTCACCATGGGGACCGCTAGGTGCTGTGCCTGCTGCTGGCAGGTTTGGGCTCCCATTTCCAATCTATATCAGCAGAAATGGGAGGAAAAAAGGTTATCAGGGATCCCTAAACTTGGAAGATGAGGACAGTGGCCCCCAGCCAGTGCTTTCACCAGCCCAGCACCATGGGGATTTGGGGGGGGGCTGCACTGGATTTGCAGAGCAGAAGGGCTGTGGGTCGATGCAGTGCTAATGCCGTAGCTGGAGCCAGGATGGGGCTAGTGGTGGTGCTGCATCATCCACCTGGTCCTGCATCACTGACCCAGGTCTGGACCATCCTGGCCAGGGCTGGTTCTCCCCAGGATGGGCGCAGTCCTGGCACAGGCTGGGGCTGTGGCAGTGCCCCACAATGGGGCATTGTTTGCCCATCATAATTCATGTTTCCTCCCCACGCTTGTCTGGGCTTT